GACGCTTCTGTCTTTATAATTTTAGAAAGTCCGCCACATTTGGTGTGTTTTTTTCAAGACGTACTTCCGTTCGACACTATCGCGCATTGTCGCGCGATACTGAGCACTATTTTAGTGTGCACCCCGTACAGATCCTGCCTCATGTTGTTCTGGTTTTTTTTTACTTGGTGCTAAATTCGTCTGTGATCCTTTCTTTTGATGCCCATCATCGCTTTTTCTGAAGTCCTTTGTCAAATTCTTTTTTTTTTTGGTGTTACTTAGAACAATCAACATCTATATATAATAAAAGTGGACTTGACAGGCTTTATGTACAAACCCCTCCCTTATTACCTAACCCACCCTTTTGAAACTTTGCAGGCGTCCACTGCATCTATGTGGCTTGGACCTAACTTTAAAAAATCCTCGCAAACTGCTTTCCCCGATTTTTCAAAATCCTTTGTTTCGTCCACACAGAGTTCCAATATTGGGAAAGTCGGTCTTCTAAGACACCATTGTAAACAAGTGAGGTTTCCATTCACTAACTGTGCGCATTGCTCCCACACCTTTGAAATTCTGGAGTGTACAACCATGAAAGCATAATAGAGAATTAATCTATACATATATTATATATACATAATTTGGTAACTTAGAACCACGTGCGTCACTTTTTTCTCAAGATTTATTGCTCTATTCCAGTAGAGTGTGAATGTAGTAGGCCAATGACTTTCACTTGATGCTAATGCACCGATCATTCCTTTCATTTATTGGGGGCCCAGCTTGAAAAAAATAGTTATCACCATCTGTGGCCTTTGTGTGTGCAGCATATTAGCTTTAAAAAAATAGAATATCACGTGACCTGTGTTCTGTAACGTCTTAACACACATTAGGTAAATCAAGAAGACTTTCATCTAGGTTTGTTTTTAATTCAAGTCTTCTCCGAGACTTCACGTTCGTCAAGGGGGGGGGGGGGGAGGGGGGATTTGAGAGCGGCTCATTGAGCGCAGTCTCTGTTTGCACACATGTGGATGGCGAGGTCACCTGCTGAATACGCAATATAGATGAAGCTTTTTCTTGTGTACTTTAAAAGAAGCTGTATAAGATTCCTGCTGAAAGAAAAGTAGGGATAGATAGGCGGTATGGAGAGTGCGGCGGTGCTGTGGATGTTACTGCTTGCTGTGAGTACTTCTTTCAGTTCTTCTTTTTTCTTTCTCTCCATATTTTTTATCATTCTTTTTCTTTTTTTTTCTTTTATTGAAAAGCTCACCTTGTATGCTTTTGTCATGTATTTAACACAGTTCTTATCGTTTCTTTTAGTGGGATGCTAATTATGGTGTCACGAATTCCTCTTTCGAAATGATCTACTTGAGTGTCGAACATGGATTTAACAATCAGCAATAAAAGAGTGCATTTTTTAGAGAACAAAATGGTCAATTATGTCTCAGAATCAACATAATCGCGAGCTGAGCACTGCCTTGTGCATACTCCATTCATTTTCCAACAAAAGGGAAGTTTGGTCACAACCGTGAAAACTGTTTGGAAATTTTCCTGTCTGAGCCAAAAATAATTGCGATTAATGTCCGCGTTCTGGGGGGGATTAAAATATTTATAGTGATCCAAAAGTTAAAAAAATTAATTAAAACAAACAAAATAAAAGAAATATATTTTTTTAAATTACATTTTTTTAAAACACCTAATGTAATAAGTCCGTGAGATTGACTGCTGGCAGGGTTTTCTTTTCCTCTTGATGTAATCATTGTTGTGGATGCTGTTTGTTGTTAGTGTTGTTGCAGTTTTTGTTGTTATTTCATGTTATTGTTTCTATTGTTGTTTTTATTTGTGTTCTTGTAGTGTTGTTGTTTTGTTTTTGTTGGGGGTGGTTATTTCTTGGGTTTTTTTTGTTTTTTTGGGGAGAGGAGGGGGGGGGTAAATGTTTTACCGCGCTAGCAACTGTGTAAGATCACATGAGCGCACAGGACACATTAAACATTTTCAGTTGGTAGGAAATTTTGAATTTTGCCCGGGTGGAGGCCGAAGCCTACTCTTATCGATTTTGGACAACCAATTGGGATCTTTAACATGCGCAACTTGCACGCACGACCTCTAATATTTTTTGCTCTTGCTCGAGAAGGCTAGATCTTTCCTAACAGACGATCAGGAGTGTGGCTGAAAGACAGCTGTAAAAGGAGCCAAGAAGTAGCTAGTAGAAAGGCCGCAGAAAAAGTCAGGAGCCCAGAGGAGGAGGCAAAGGAGATGAAGGGCAAGGGGCAGTGAGTGGAGACGAAAGCAGACGAAAGATCATTGCTAGTGAGCAAGAAAGGAGGTGAAAGAATACAATTTTAGAGAAGAAGATCTTTACGTCGCTACCCGGATTCGAACCCGTGACCTTTAAATGAGAGACGAACTCCTTAACCTCAAGACCACAAGAGCCCCCCTATTGTTGTTTAGATTGGGCGGGGAAAGACGAAGAGTTGAATCTAAACACTTAAGAAACAAAATCTTAGACAAAATAAAACGTCCCGATAAAAAAAAACGCTCCCTACAGATGACGCCCCTGATCACTGTTGTTAGAACGTAAAAAGGCTGCAATGAAAGCTGTACGAAATGAACTTTGAAAATCCAAATTGTGCGTAACCAGATGAAAACAATAAGGTTATATTTTCAAAAGAAAAAAAAAGACAAAATTCGTGCAAGTTAGAATAGCATTGCGTTTAGGCAATATTCATATTATTGTTCCACATGTCAGTGGGAAACCCGGATGTGTTTTACAGGTCAAGTATGCTCTGAGTAAAAGGCTGAAGGAGACGTTTTCTGAAAAAAAAGCTCTCCCAACAGAGCCTTGACAAATACTTGGGTGAGGGGGGAGGAGGGAGGGGACGTATTAGCCATTCAGTTCACTGAGCAGTGCATAATTAGAAGGGATTTCACTGTGCAGAGTGGAAAAAATGCCTCAGGGACACAGGTGGAAAAGGCCCTCCTGAATACCCAACACTGTTCATGGATACTTTGATTTTTACTTAATTAACTTGTTAATATAATCTCTCTCTCTCTCTCTCTC